TCAAAAGAGCGCCCATCGCGCCAGCAAATGACTTGCTCTGGGTGACTGCCGGTTGCCGCGGCCAGAAGCTCCAGCTAATGGACACCCTCAATCCACAGGAAGCGCAGCAGTTCGGTACTCCACTGAACAGCCCATGGACTGGAACACTTGTCAACGAGCTTGCGCTGTGGGGCTACCTAGACAACAGCGAAAACAGGGACATCAAAGACGAATGCGACTTCACCATGAAGCCAATGTTCGAAACCGCACTGAAGGCTCTCGGGATCAGCGCGAGAAGCGCCCCGGATGGCGGACCAAACAAGTGTTTCTCCTATGTACACAGAGACAGTGCCGTTGTTCAGCGGTTGCCAAACGGCCAGCTGCCAGCCAGAAACCAACAGCAGTACGTCGTCAACGGGAGAACCTACAGGATCACCGGCGCATTTCACACCATCGGTATCAACGCGCAAGATGGCGTCATCCACATGATCAACCGCCGGTCAGCCCAATCTGCAGCCAAACAATTATGGAACGTCGCCCAAGCTCCAAAAGACCAACTGCCCGCTTTAGCTTCGAGTTCAGACATTGCCTGGGGTCTATGGGAAAGGATGAGCGCCGGTAACCTCGCCAACATCAACTACATCTTCTCCCACCGGATCACCAACGAAGAGACACGCGCCATCATCGCGCGCGCTTTGGAAGGCCGGGAAGTACGACCTTGGCCGGGAGAGGTGTTTGAAGCTGGAATGGCTACGGAATACTGGGCTTTGTTGGGTATGTTCCACACGGCCTCTTGCTTGCAGGATGTTACACAGTGCTGATGTATGACTTCTAGGATCACCGAACGGCATCGCGGCAGGCTACCTGCTCGGACAACATAAACCCCAATTTGGTCACAACAGATATGTGTCGGCTATACATGTCTTCCAGGGCGCACCGGGAAGTCCCTTCATGGGGGTTCCGGCGTTGCCGTATATGTGTTTCGTTGTCAAGCCGGCGCCGTATCCACCGCCGCCTCCTCCGCAGGAGATTCAGATGCGAGATGTTGCGCTGAATGAGCCTGTTGCTATCGATGAGGACGAGGACCAAGTGGTAGCGCGGTCTGAAGACGGGAAGAGCATTGTGCGGAGTCATAAAGTGTTTGCGAAGTCGTAATAGAGGGGTGGAGGGATGGTTGGATTGGAGAAGGCAAAAGCTCGATAGTGTTTTCTTGTACATATCATCGTTTCTAAAATGCACACGTACATTGAGTACTTCTAGCAAGGTTCGCTTTGTGCTAGTAATCGCATGTTCTCGAATTAAACCAATTTCGTCTAACTATCTAATCGTTTCCTTCATGTACACAAAACCATCTACTTGAGGCGCAGCATCGAAGGCCGATTCCTACGTAGCTAGTCTGAGCGGCCTGCAAAGACCACGTGTCGTCTTATAAGACTTGTCCCATCCCCATCCCCATCCCCATCAACAAGGTTCGACTCCACCAACCCAGTGCCCTTATCCTTGTCCTTGTCTTTATCTTCAGGCTCCGCCATCTCCGGCGGCGGCGAAGGCACATCGTCGACGTAGAAGAGAATGTTTCTCAGCGGGTCTTCCTTATCGGTGAGGAAGACGTTGATCTTGGAGATGTACTTGTCCTTGCCCAACTCTTTCTTGTGTTGCGCAAGGAAATAACCTGCGGCTCGACCGTTCGCGGAACCTGTTGAGCGATCTTGTTAGTAACTGAAGGTAGAACGAGATGTTAATGGGGAGACACTCACCGATAATCGCTAGGCCTTCCTCCGACTTTGGATCAATCTCCGTTCCTGGCCACTTCTTCAGCTCTTTGACTTCCTGTTTAGCGATCGCTTTATCGATGATAGCTTGCGTCTCTTTGTTGTTGATGTACAGGCTGAAAATCTTGCGGATGTCACCAAGGTTATCCTTTCCGCGTAGCTTATTCCAGAGGCCCCATGCGAAGTCAGAACTGGCGCGCAGCTCGGGTAGCTCAGAGGTCTTTGGGGTGTATTTCCAGAGCATCTTTGCGGTTTCGAAGGGGCTACTGCGCGAGACAAAGAAGAGTACGCCCGCCTTGGGATTGACGCCGAACGTGTACGTGGAAGCTGTGCACTAGGCTCTGTGTCAGTCACCCCTGTGATTTGCTATGCTATCCGGCTTAGCAGGCTGATGCGCAAACCCAACTTACCCGCTGCCTCTTGCCCGATGGATCAAGATAGTATTGTTTGTCGATTGGCAACATCCGACCATCGGGGTCATCCAGGTAGAAGGAATCTTTTGGATCAAAGAGAACGGCCGGACTGTTGTAGTGGAAGGCGCTGAAACACTGATTGTCTCCTCCGTCGTCGAGCGACTTATCGCTGATGCTGAGACCTTTGAAAGCGGTTGTCATCCCTTGGTGGCCGAAGGCGCACCAAGAGTCCTCGTCTTCCCACATATCCCAAGCCCATTTTAGTCCCTCTTCCTCGAGGCTGCCGTCCCAAGGGCTGTTGAGGGGATCGATGTAGCGTGTGCCTTGATTGCCGTCTCTGGTCATTGCGAGAAAGAGTTTCTGGCCTCGACATACCGCCTTTTCATACTCTTCATCGCTGATTGCTCGAGTATGGACGACGAAGCCGGGGTCCGCAGGGTTGAAGCCAGCAAAGTCGATTGGAATGGCGTTCCTCCTGGAAATTTGAGGAGCTGAGATATTCAAGAGAGGCCCGTGTGTCGTGATGAGACGCTCACTTGCTACCAGAGCGACTAATCCCGTCCATGACAGAAAATTGAGTGCCTTCATCGCGGCGGAAAAGGAAGAGCGCGGTAGTGTGTGACTAGTTGAGGCTGAGCGGCGGACGAGTACGCGAAAGCGGAGGAGCAGAAGAACAAGTAGTTTCCGGCGGGAGGCGGGGAGGTGAAGGGTGAGCAGCCTAGACCTAATCTTTGCGCAAGGTGCACGAGCAGTCGAATGTGTAGAGCTGGGGCCCGACCCACACTGCGTTCTAAGCGTACTACGAAACAAAGTTCAGTTGCAAGCAACTCTACTGTCGTTCCATTTCACTCAACAGTACAAAGTACCACCGCCACCGAGATACAGTGAAGGCGTTACCTGCTCAGCAATGACACTGGCCTTGGACCCTCGACCTTTTGGCACCTGGAAACCCACGACGGGTGCCTCTTCTCCCGTGTGTACACTGAAGTTGCCCGTCGCCGTGAGCCGAGAACAGTCTGGGTGATATGAATAGCATAAAGCCGAGAGGTCATAGTTGCAAGCCTTCCTGGCCTTCGTTTCATAAGCTGTGGTTGTCTTATCTTTGTCCGTTAAACCATATCGCTTGGAGCTCTGTTTTCGCGACCATCCTAATTGACAGTTGTTCGTTTAAATTGATCAGTAGTTTCTTGCGGTATGATTGTGCGGGCGTTTGTTGTAAATGCGATAGAAAGTGCGTGCTATCATTACCTGCATAAGCTATATTGTACTAGCTCGTGGCGTTGAAGCATGACAATGTAACTGTGATGAATGTATTGAGGCAGAAGCAGCCATTGAATAATGTAGGGAGCGTTGCATTCCACAAGCGTGTTGCGCGTATGTATGGTGAAGCTGGACGCGTCGACGCGTCGTTCGGTCTAGCGTGACGCGGGATGACATATTAGTCAGCCAAAGATGTCTTGTCGGAGCAGGTAACCCGAGCGTCCGCTACAGCTTCGCGTCAACACCATCAACAGCTTCCATACACTCATCGGCAGATGCTTCGTATGCACAGTATCCTGTTGGGAAGTATTCCATTCTGTCCATGTCTACTACGCACACGCGTGTGCCAACAACCTCTCAATACAGTCCATCCCACCCTTCGTCAACCCTTTCGCCGCTTCATCTCCGATCCGCGTCTCTACGCTGTTGGACTTTTGCTCTGACATCGCTTACATTTACAGTCATACACGAATAACGTGCTCTCTAAACATACTCCTTCCATCCACGCTCCTTCTCAATACCTTCGTCTCCTCTAAATCTTCGGCAACATCGATCGCATCCACATTCGAGACGTTCCCCAATTGCGCGCCATCGACCTCTCCATAAAGATTGGGTGCATCTTTTACCCAAAAGATCAGAGTCGGATATTCGTCGTCCGTAACGGGTTGACGCGCTTTGAAGACTGTGATCTTGGAGATCATCTTGTTGCCTCTTAGTTGCTGTTTGTGCTGGGCAAGGAAGAAGCCGACTGCTATACCGCTCGGAGAACCTGCAGTGTAGTCTGTCAGCGCTGCATACCCACAGCTTTTCTCATCGATAACAGGGGTATAGCACCAGCTGTCATGCCGAACGCACTGGACCTACCCAAGATAGCGGCGGCTTCGACAGAGGTGATATCGAAGTCAGTTCCTGGCCATTCCTGGATGCTATCCACCTTCGTATGCCCCGATGGCGGCCTATAGGTTTCGATGGCGAGGTAGGAAATTCTAAAATCTGCTCATTGTCGACACTCAGACTTCAGGAAGCTGTGATTGGAATATTGTGCGGTAATCGATTCCAGAAGCCCCATGCAAAGTCAGCGTTACTTCGCAAGGCCGGTAGGTCTCTCGATTGTGGTGTGTTTGGATGCCATAAGGCCTTCGCAGATTCGCGACGCTTTTCCTGCTTATGAAGTACATCATACCCGCGTCAGTGGACACGGCGGCGGGAGAGTGGGCATAGGGCATAGGGCATAGGGCATGGTGCGCAGTGGCGTCGCCTTCAGCTGTTGACTTTTATCAACTCGTAATAACGACGGCAAAATCGATCAGGTAAAGATGCGATTATCATGATGACAGTTGGATGCCCGGGCACGCACAACGTGTGGTAGTTCTCAACTTTTCCCGATGCAGTAGTCCGTGGTGCGTACTTCTGGGGAAGGTTTGCCGAACCCCGCATCACCGTGTACACACACGCGTCTAGCCAGCGCTCGCGTCGAGACGACTCAACAAGCAATTGGAATTGCTTATAAGCAGTGATGAGTTACGATGTTCTTCCAGAGTAGTGAACAGAATCCTTCTTCTGACATATTTCCATCATGAACGGCCATGCAGAACCGAGTAAGCGTCAACGCTTCGATGTGCCTGCCAAGATGAAAGCATTACAGTAGGCATGCTCGGCGCGTGACATACGATGTCTCATTGCTAAGATAATCAAGATACTCTGGCCCCGAGAAATTCGCAGTCGAGACCATCGATGTTCCAACAATCGGTGATGATGATGTTCTTGTACGACACACTATTCATCACCCCGCGGTATTTGCTGCGTTAACACACGAAAGGTCAAGATCTCAGCCTGCGGTGTATGCGGAACAGTAAGTAGAAGAATTGGAGAAAGTCTTTGGGGTATACATCATACTGACCACCTTGAAGGATTTGCATTACCAGTAAGCTTCGGATGCGACAAGCTTGCGACGCATGCACTGACTCGGCATGTTCACATCTGCAGCAAAGGCGAGTTTTTAGCGAAGGTGAGATTCTTGGGAAATTCTGTATTGGACAAAGCTGACGTCCTTGAAGTATCCTTTGATACCCGGTACGAGCGGTCGTTCACTTCTCCACACACCTCACTCACCTTCCCAGGCCACGAAGCAGCAGGCACCGTCGCCGCTATCGGCAAGAACGTTCATAACGTCGCGGTTGGTGACCGCGTAGCAGCCGATGCCTTGCAGCCGTGTCTCAACTGCTTCTACTGCACGCGTAGAAAGACCCAACTCTGTGAGAATGTCATCGGGTATGGCGGTAATGTTCCGGGTGGTTTCGCAGAGTACTGCAGATACCCAGCTCGCATGGTTTTCCCTATTGGAAACCTTCCGGATCTAGAGGCCGTCTTGCTCGAACCCGCCGCATGCGCAGCGCATGGTATTGAGAGAATGCAGATGGAGGTCGGAAGCAGAGTGCTGCTTTTCGGATGCGGGCCGACTGGCATATTGTTGGCTCAGTTGATCAAGATGAATGGCGCTGCTCATGTATGCAGCACATCCAAAGGTTACGCGTAACTACTAACGCGACCTAGTTGACCATCGCCTCAAAAGGCGGCCCGAAACTCGATCTCGCGCGCGAACTCAACATCGCCGATTCCTACATCACAATATCCGACGAGAACCCCGGAGATGACATGGCTGCGCTCTCGACCGACAACCCCTACGGTTTCGACATTGTCGTGGAAGCCACAGGTGCACCGACAGTTCTGGAAAAGTCCATCGAGTACGTGCGTAAAGGCGGTAAGCTGGTGGTTTACGGCGTATACGACGAAAGTGTGAAAATTGCATGGTCGCCCTTCCGGATCTGGGAAAATGAGATCACGATTCTGGCTAGCTTCTGCAGCATGAGCCATATACCGCATGTCTTGGAGTATGTGAATGCTGGGAGATTGAAGTTGGGTGGCATTGCGAACAAGACGTATCGAATCGAGCAATGGGAGGAGTGCCTGGACGCGGTGAGGAAACAAGAGGTTGTCAAAGCTGCTATAGTGTTTGACTGATGCGAATCGTGGTAGTAGGAAAATAGATGGAGAACCTCAAGGCCTCACAAACGACATATCTCTAAACGGTATAGGCGAGGTTCGGAAGTGTGTTAGCGTGGCGCTCCTAAATCTATAACTACTTATGAGTACATCTTCTTGTGGAAGTCGGTATTCGCCAGATCCACAGCCCGCTTCGTAGCCTCAATGAGGTCCTCCTTTGGAAGTCCCAATTCATCATTGTTTAGCTTATGGTCCCTTTCGAACAAACCTGCCTCATCGATGAAGTACCTCGTGTACAAAGCTGTCGCAAAAGACATGCGATCACCCATCATCATCTTCTCCCTGGCGGTGGCCAAGCGCTGCTTCAACGGCTCCGACGTAATCTTCCAGTCTTTCTCCGTGGTGCCAGTAACCTTCTGTACCGCCTCGAACATCTCGCGCTGGTTGAGGGCGAAAGACGATACGAAGGTCATGCGGTTGCGGTACTGCTCCAGTGTCGGCCCGTTGTCATCAGATGCCGATACTGGCAGGGATAGCAAGTTCGCCACAGCAAGCCCAGTCTGGGGCCATGTGGCAGTGTTCAGTCGCTGCTTCCCATCGTCAAAGTACACAAGCTCTCGTTTCGGGATATCGATGCCGAAGTAAGCGCCGCTGAGAGAGTACTCATACCAGAAGCCGGAGGTTACGCCTATCCAAGAAGAAACCCCGAGCGACTCGATGAGGTTGCGAGCGATCGTCTTGCCAGGCCCGATGGTTTCGTTTTGGATCTCTTCCGTGTTGTACATGCCGAACTCGTTTGGTAGAATCCATGGTACTCCAGCTTGGGCTGCTCCACGAATGAGCTTCTCCTGCGCATTACCACCGAAGACACTCATTGTGATGACTAGTGCATCTTGTCCGGTCAGAGCTTTGACTATGGTGTCTGGACTGTCGTAGTCGATGCGTGCGACGTTGACGCCGGATGGGAAGGTGGCTTTGGACTCCATACGCGTGACGGCTGTGACGTTGAAATGGTTCTTCGCAAGGAGGGCTGAGGTAATGTATGAACCGACGTTGCCGTTGGCACCGACTATGGCGATGTTCTTAAGTTTGGATAGCAACGCCATGTTGCTACGTGTGCGAACGAAGGGGTTCTGTGGTTATTGGTAGAGTGAAGAAAACAAAGGCTTGCCCAATTGTCACTTCAACACTCGGGACTGACTTCCTTTTATACACGTCTTGAGGTACATTAGGAAGAATCGATGTTGAGAGGCATACGGTCGGTATTCGGTCGTAACCTTCTAACTCCGCCCATGCATAGACAAGAAGGTGCTCCCATGCTGCAACCAGTGTAGCTCGATGAGCCAATACACACAATGTCGACTGGCAACACTGATGGAGCTGGTTTCAGGCCCCCAGATCCATATAGGGCAAGCTAAGTGTGCACCGAAGTCCGATCGCTGACATGATCCGTCCGAGCTGGATAGGCGTTAAAGCGCGAGCACCGAAGTGTGTGGTGATGTCATTTACAGATTCGGTTAGCGCGTGTGGGTAGCGCCCGGGCGCCCATCTCCACATCCGCGGTCAACGATGTCCGCGCATGGAAGACGCGTCAAAAGAAGGGGTGACGGACGTCCTCCCGACTTCTCGTCATGCGAGTTTACCCCAACCAGGTCAAATGTTACGCAATGCTCGTTCCGTCTCTGTCATTTCGCTGGAGTCTTGCGCGAACGAGTGCCACGCCGCTTAAGTGTGGCCGCCTAAAGACAGCAGCTCAGCTGCAGGCGTTCGCCAATCATGTGTGTCTTGCACAGCCCCTCCACCAGGGGACGAAAGTCTCAGGCCAGCCTGATTCTCTTCAGCAATCGCGACAGCATTGCCTCGACAACGACGCAAAGCCTGCGACATGACGGTTATTCAGGATTACCAGTACGGACCACTCGCAGACGATGACAACACACGTTTCATACAGTTGTACCCCGCGGCGCACTTCGAAGATCCCATACGCGTGGACATCGTCGAACGGGCGTATGATGCCTCCAGGACGCAAGACCCAGTCGGCTACGAAGCTTTATCGTATGCTTGGGGCTCAGATGAAGATTCGGCGTACGTCTTCGTTGGGGCGAACTCTCGCTTGCGTGTCCGTCACAATGTTACCCAGATCCTGAGGTACCTGAGGGACGGTATTACCCCAGGATGTACTGTCCGAACCCTGTGGATTGACGCTATATGCATCAACCAAGCGGACGACGAGGAGAAAGGAAAGCAGGTTACCATGATGGGAAAACTCTACGCATGTGCTACGAGTGTGCTGATCTGGACTGGAGAGCCCGGGTGCGATTTGCAAGCGCTACAGCGCAGCTTTGAACGAAAGATAGAATACACGCGCGATGGGGAAGCTCGCTTCATGCAGTTCTTTGAGACCGGATGGTTTACGAGGCGCTGGGTAGTCCAAGAGATCATGCATGCCCGCGAAGCCTACATCATTTCGGGTAGTGGCACAATGCAGTGGCAGCAGTTCCGTGTCTTTGTCGAACATCTGGAACAGAACGTTTCCTACGAAGCAGTGACACCACATTTTACGGCAATCTTGCATCGCTTGAGCAATCTCACTGCAGTACGAGATACCAAGTCTGACGAGCTGTCTCAGTGCGATGAAAATACTACTGGTGCCCAAACGGATCGTATCGTAGCTGGAGCCGAAAATATGACGACACTTTTGACACGGTTCTCTACTACCAGATGTGCAGATGATCGCGACAGAATCTATGCACTACGAAGTCTCAGTTCGACATCAATTGTAGTCGACTACCAAGTCTCAGTCAATGAGCTTTATGATCGGTTGAGCAAGATCGAAGTGATCCGATTTCCAATGGCCATCATGAGCTGCGCTGGGTCCTTCGGTGGACTCGCTGCTTCATGGGTCCCGGATTGGAGGTTACCCATGCGATACAGGCCTTTCCAGTCATCTCTCAAGTACGAATGCTCAACTCTGCCAGTAGGGGTGTCATTGGTTACCGTTGAAAATAGCCTGCTCACAATACAGGCGACCTTTGGTGGCGTCGTCGATAGCGTCGTAGATCCGCCAGGACCCGAACATGAGACAGAAGAGAGGACCCTGTACCGATGGGGTAATTACTTCGTCCAACATCACGCCATCGGTACGCCAGAGCAGAAATCGATGGATGCAATGATCTTGTATTGTGCTCTGCGTGTGATACCCATGGAAGACGATGTTGCGGATCCGCATCCCTCTCCTTACAAAGCACAGCTGCGATCTCGTTGGGAAAACATACTCCGTCGTTGGAATTCATACGAAAAATGGAATAGGAAAAGGAAACCCATTTTACGCCTGTTATCCGAAGCAAACAGGATAGGCCTCGCCCACACAAAGGAGGGCCGCTCGTGCTTTTTCACAAGTGCTGGGCTGTTCGGAATAGGACCAGACACGATACAGATCGGCGACTACCTTGTCAACATGCCAGGATGCGACTCCATGATGGCACTACGTCCGGTCGATGCTGAGAAGAATCTCGAGCAGATGTATGGGGACATGGGGTCATCTCAGCATCCGGCTATGACGGTCGTCGGCGACTGCTGGATACCTGAACTCGTCAAATCTAATAGGGAAAATACTGCATCTAATCTTCGCACTTTCCACATCGTGTAGAAGGACAAAGTCTTGCAGTATCTGTACGTGACCTGCTCAACGAACATCTTGCACTAGCTGATAATATAGATGCCGCATCACTACAGAATCACTCCACAAGCGCGATCCTCACACTTATGACTGCGGAACAAAATCACCACCCGGAGCTTCACCTTCATGGTCAACCCCTTGGTGCTCTTCTTCAACATATTCTTCATCTTCATCTTCCTCTTCCTCAGTTCCATCACCCATGACCTCCGCATTCTCTGCATTTCTTTGCGGCCTCGTCCGGCGAGGTCGTCTGACAAATATTGCACCTCTTTGCGGTGTGTGTGGATTGTTTGGCGCTCGAGTAATCACCGGTGTGCGATGTGGTCCACTCTGCATCGGCACTGTCCATGCGGCTCTTGCACGCGCCTCACCCCTCGATTGATCCCGACACATTCCCGTTGAACTTGCACCTCGCCTTCCTAAACCAGGTGAGGGTGGACGAAACTCATATCCCATATGCCCGCGCTCCTTATATTCGAAACCACCATACCCTTGGCCCATTCCACCGAAAGGCTGATTGAGGTTCTGATGGTGCTGGAAATGCTGGGGCCTTGGAGCTGGTGGAGCTGTGTAGTACTCATCCTCGGAAGGTGTATTCCAAGCCGAGGCGGCAAACGGATCGGGCCATCTTGGATGTTCGTGTGCATAATAGCGCGGTTCTGGTCGGGCTGCGGGCATTCCCAGCGGGGCTTGCGCCGTGACGGATGTGCTGAGGCCTGCCATGTTCCTCGCCCAGGAATGCAAAGCATCCAGTTCACGAAGGAAATTGTGAAGCTCGGTTTGCTCGATAAGGAAGTACGTTGACCGCATGTTGGATGGTGTTGTCTTATGAGCTTCGAGGAAGTATGTTGATATAGTGAAACCTTCTACCTGGGTTCATCGCAGCGAGGCAAAATAACTTTCTATATACACGTCCAAAGTAAAATGCGTTGGTCTAGATTGGTGCGCTCGTAGGCCACGTCTACTAATTGCGTACTCCGAGAGTGGAAACGAACGCTTCGCAGAGTGTGTGGCGAGCATACGGGATTTGTTTGGCATTGCAAATTAGGGCTGTTCGCTACATCGCACTATACAGTCACGATCAACACGGCCGTTCGCTAAGACTCATGAAGCCACTGTCCAACAGACTCATTCGATCCTCGCAAGTGTCAAATTATAGAGACGGTATTACGAACGCGTAAATCGTCGCAATTACCCAATCATAACTGAACTAAACCACATCTTCCCGCACTACTCACCCACTCCATGCATTCCAACGCCTACGCCTACCTTCCCTCCCGCTCTCTCATCCCAACTGTCTCTCCCATATTACAAGCACCCTGAAAACCAACACAACCGC